CCTAGACACAGGAGAACTATTGTCGTGAAAGTGTTGTACAGTCGATTACGAATTTAGATTGCAGAGAGTTTGTTCTGAGCGCTAAAAGCACTCACGATAGAGCACATTTTGCTTTATTCTAACAGCAAACATCCAGTAAAGGTTTGGGAAATTTGAGTTTTTGTGCAAGGCTTTTGCTTTGCCCATTCCATGTAGATAACAAGTCTTTTAGAATAGTTATTTCCTGTTGAGATGATTATTTCCTATTAGGCGGATCGGAGATCGCTATGGTCGTTGCCTCTGCATGACGACTTGATGGGTTGTATGTTGGCACGGCTGGTTGGCAATGATGGCTTTATGGGCCACAAAGTTGTCAATCGGTTTGGACGACGACAAGCCTGTCGCTTGTCTGGTGTCCGCCAGAACCGAAATCCAACTTTATCTACATGGAAAGGGCAAAGCAAAAGCCTTGCACGAAAACTCAAATTTCCCAAACCTTTACTGGATGTTTGCAATCCAGAAAGGCCGGTACAAAAACCCACGTACAGAACTCCCGCAGGATTCAGACTGGGATTTTCGTGGCAAAAACCGACTCATAGGAATCCCCCGAATAAAACGGACCAAACGGACATTTGTCCGTCTGTCCGATCGGACGTGTCGAACTGCTTCTATCAAGGAGTTTCCAATGAATGGTCTCCACGAGAGCAATTTCAACACGCTCCTAACTCTGAAGATCAGAGTAGGAGAGACGTCCAAAAGCGTGATGTTCAGCAGGAACATCACATGAGCTGCACCCTTGCGCACACCCATGTTGCTAAGGCAATGATGGCTTTATGGGCCACAAAGTCGTCAATCGGTTTGGACGACGACAAGCCTGTCGCTTGTCTGGTGTCCGCCAGAACCGAAATCCAACTATGGAGACTGGTCTTCTGAGTCTGTAAGAGTCTGTAAGAGACTGACTGCAGAACACTACAAGAGGCTGGATGAAACCCCTTGACCTTTACGGGTATAGGTGTCCCGGTGCTCCAACGACTAACAAGTGCCCGGTCGAAAACTGGCTGGTTGTCAGGTGAAAAAGGAATGCAGCACGCCGAAAGTCGTTGTGCACGCAACAACGATCAACTCCAGGGGTGCTGGGAAGGACTGCGGGAAACTGTACTCACGAGTGTACAGGATCCAGAACAAGTTTCAGTCGATTAAAATAAATCGATCTGTGTGCCGCTGCCTGTTCTTAGGGACGAGAACCACCTTGTTTAATTACAGTACAGCCGGGCAATAGGCCTCACGAGTTGTCTTTTGTGGGGTGGATTTCTCAACACCGGAAGCAAAAGACAACAAGTGAGGGAAGCACGGGTTCGGCGGATCCCAGCGCTTGACTCCTTTCAGTTTCCAATAGGGCTGGACAACCGAAATATAGAACCACCGAAATAAAATAGAAATCAATACCCTTGTGCTGTGGGTCTTCGCGTAGTCGTCGACAGTGATGGGTATGGCGACCCAATTAGAGCTTAGTCGACTTTGAACGCGGCAGCTATAAAACCTTTGAGATTGGTAAACCAGAGGAAAGAGGTAAAACTCTGGTCTTTGACTGTAGGTGTCGGAAAGGACTGGGCCAGATCGCAAGTGTGGGCGTTGCGATGGCCGAAATGCCGATGGATTGGCAAAGACTTGTAAAATTGCTTCTGAGGGAAGCAGAGGACGTTTTCTGTGGGAAAAATGGCGGCAGTTAGCTGATGGTGCGTAACTGCGACTCTTAATCTGACAGAATATTATTATTCTTGGGTGAACGCTCGAGATTAGGCCAATACTCACGGTCAACGAATCCGAAAACGAATTCCAAAATACCGTGTGCTGTAAATTATGTACTAACGTACAAACCCTACCAACCTTCACTGAAGCCTCAAATTCGTAATCCGTCGGAAGCTGAAAATCTTCCCGATTTGAGATGAGTCAAAATCGAGATTTCCCCTTCTGTAGCCCCCAAAGAGATTTTCCGGTAGAACCGATTTTTGATGAAATACTATAAGCGGTAATTTCTTTTTTAACGAAACTCGAAATGAGTCGAACTGATCCATTCTAGGTTTTGAAACATTAGACAAAAATAGGCACGTAGCCAACCTACAGGAAAACTGTACTGTTTTTTGTTTGATACATCAGAACATTTTTCTACGAGAGACGTCGTAGATACAATGTACGAGAGTGATTTTGAAACACCAGTGAAAATTTTGAATCATCAGAGAACGATGCCGAAATAAAAGATTGAGAGCACTGATCGATAGAACAAAGCCCAAGACGAGAGATAGGCTTTGGAAACATCTTCTTGACTATCTATCTATGGCATGAGGCAGTTGGCAGAAGGTGTTGTGTGCTATTGGGGAAAATACTAAATGCTATTGGGGAAAAAATCAACTTATGCTTTTTCACTCTGACAAGAAGGAGAATGTAGCAATTTCTGGAGGAAGGGGGAAAAATGTAAATGGAGCAGATCAGGAAGAATCAGGATTCAACAGCTGTCAGAGAAGTAGAAGGAATCATGCAGACATATAATGTTCGTCGTGATTATATTTGAACAGTGAACGCAAGATTGAAGCAAATACTGAAAGACGACGCACGGCGGAAACAGAAACAAACAATGCATGCCAGCGACACAGGTTTTGGAGGCCAGGCAAAACGATCCACTACAAAAAACCAACGACTCATGAAATAAATGCTACTTCGAAAGTATATATTGCATGTTCAGCGTGTTGATGCAGATTTACGTCGTTGTTGGGTGTTCATTGTGCTGACGGACATTTGTAATTATTGATTTCGTTCTCCAGATTTTGAATGAAATGAAAATGAGAATCGAACGGCTTCTCATTATCTTTGTCACTCACGAATGTCTTTGTTAAATGGGAATACTTAATAAACTATTTATTAGCATTTATCAGCTTTAATAGGAAAGAGATAAAAGGTCGCGTGTTATAAATGTTTTCTTCGTTGGAAATGTAATGTTCTTCGTCGGTGTAACCTATTGTTCTTCGTCGGCAACGTAGTGTTCTTCGTAGCTAACGTCGTGTTCTTTGTCGCTAACGTAGCCACAACGTTAGCCGCGTTAGCCAAACAACACAAGTTCACGTTTTATGGAGTAAAATATAGATCAGTTAATAACCAGAATATTATCTATTCTATTCAGAAAGCCAACACTCGTGAACATCTAGCTTTAATTGATAGAGGTGCCAACGGCGGCATTGCTGGAGACGATGCCTGCATCATCATTGCCATCATACGCCAACAAGCCTACATTGGAAAGGGCCAATCCATTCTGTCCAACGGACAAATGGAACATTTCAAGATTGTCGTGGACGACAAGTCTACCAAAGTTGGTGGTCAACAGCGCTTGACGACACCAGATGACTTCGTCTTACCACTTGTCATCAGCAATGGCCTCCCATATCTGCAAATGCATCCACCAACAGATCAGGAGCTGAGTAATCCCAACATCCCACATGTCGTACTCACTTCTGATACTGATTGGGACCCAAGTGTATTGGATCATTTGGTTGACGATATGGAAGAATGGGCAAAGTCCATTCCCGACCATGATCCTGATGATGAAAAACACCTGTTCGATCTTTTAGGAGTTCTTAAGAATAATAAAGCTGTTACTTCTCTTAAGGATTCTAAACTAGATGAAACTACTGATTTCTTTGAGAACTTCAATTGTGTTCTTCCAACTGATGGACTGTACAAACAGCACCATCGAGCGTTCGACAACCACACATGGTTTGACTGCAACATGACCGACCTATTTGGCTTTGACGCAGCACCAGAAGATTCACCCATCCCTGAGTGTTTCGAGGTCTACGAAGCTCGTAAGCCCCCTTCAATACTGTTCAGCCCAGGCCAATTGGTCAAATACGATATCGAGTCAGCTCCTTTGTAAGACAGCTCTTTCAAGGACCTCATCCTCAATTCGGACAAACCGACTAGGAAGACACCACATGGGGAGTTGGATCGTCCTCTACCGCCAAGAGTACATTTCAATGATACCCTGACTGTACACGAGAGTACTAGTCGAATCCTAACTACTATAAAGAAGTCCACTCTAGACGATGCTGTTGCTTTCTTTACTGACTTTGTACTGGAAGACGACTTGCTCCAACAGTTGCCAGAAGCGAGCATGGGGAGAGATGATGCTACTAGTGCTCTTCCTCCTGTACATGATGGGAACAAGTCAGATAGAGAGCCCGACCAAACAATAGATGAGATAGCCACTAACAAATCTATTTTAGTTTGTACTCTTGGGATCCTTGAAGCTACTCTAGACTGTACTCTTGACTTTGTTGGGCCACTCGACTTTGATCTAATTGATCGTGGATTGAGCACCGCTAACATTCCAAATGCCACGCTCATTCCTAAGCATTGTACTGATCACGACCAAAGTGTATTGGACTCCACCACTATTGGAACTGAAGAAGCTAAGCCAACATTCAAACAAGTAGATAGTCATAATTGTAATAGAGCCTTACTCTTTACTACTATGAACGGCACCTCTGCTTTAGATTGTGCAATCGACTTCTTCCAATCCTTTGGTGCCTATGCGAATCCAATAGATGGACTCCATGAAGTCCATCATCCACCAACTTCTGAACTAGCTAGACTTGAACATAGCATGGAAGATCCTATCAACCTGGATCGCACCAGTGCAACTCAAGTCGCACTGCCAGAGCTTGAGATCTATCAGTCTCACAAGCAACCCTTAACTCAAAAGGCGCGCTTTGAGCTGGTTTTGTATCAATCTCACAAGCAATCCTCAACCCAAGAGGCACGCTATGATGATGATACTCGAAAGCCTGACGGGAGAAATGGTCCACCACCTTGCAACAGCTTTGAGCATGGATTACAACCAACTGAGGTTGAACTGAAGAACCCAAGCTCGGCTGTGAAGTCTCGTGAACGCGATTGGGAGCGCCGTCGCAGCTACTTTGCATGGTTGCCCAAGCTAGTCATCCAGAAGAACTCGGAACACTACTTGGAAGACTCAACTCAACTAGCTACGATAACTACTATAGATATTACAGTACTGGCGGCATCCAACTTTGTATCTACTTCTAGAGCTGGTCACCAAATCCGAGCCCCGCAAATCTGCAGCTTCCTACTTGCTGGAAAGCACAGATGCAGCACACACCATGGCACTGAATCGCCAAGCTACAATGATAGTATCATTGAGCGGTCTCCAGGCCTATACCACCAATGTGCTTGTAGCGGAGCTAACCAAAGTCTTCACTTCGATGGCACAACTACAATAAGCTCAAGCGGCGATACAGTCACACATGGGCTCACTACGACTACAATCAATGGTATAGATCTTTGTCACTGTACATTGGCAGTGAGCGACTTCCTCCATTGGACATACATTGATGACTGGACAACTTGGTCAATTGGACGGACGCAATTTGAACAAAGACTACTAGCTAAGACTGAAATGGTAAAAATTATCCACTTAGCAACTTGTCTATGTACCAACGCTTTCTGCATGAAGCAATTGACCACTTCAACTGAAGACCAAATGGATTCTGACCATATTGTTGCTCAGATTCATGGGGAGCAGACAACTGGTCTGCAACCACTGCTCAAAGGCAATGAGCCACTCCTTGATGGCTTGCCTCGGCATATAACTAAACGGTATAAGACGACATTGTAACACCTACACATATGGCATGCCTTGTTGCCATTAGGTCATGTGAACCAAGTTTTTCACCTGAAAAGGTTTTCTTCGCCTCATATTGATGGAACCAAGACTACTGAGACTGTTACCAACAGCCCAGCAAGACCTAATACGAAAACAGACAAGTGACATGTTGTACTGTCGTTCCACCGTGTTAGAGAGGCTATTGCATCCAATACGCTCTCCTTTCTACACATCAAAGGTGCTAAACACCCGGCCGATATCCTTAGCAAAAGATATCAACAAATATGGCCACAGCTACGTACACTACTTTCCTGAGTAGATGACACAGCTGAGGAGGATTAGGTCCTCACTCACTCACCCATTTGGGGAGTGGCAGAATTGTATCAAGAACGGGTTTAGTGACTCGGACCAATACGGTTCGTATGTTAGCAGTCTTATGGGTCTTATAGTAATCAATAGTAAAATAGATATGATGACGTGTCGTCGGATGAGAACAGTTGGAACTTTGCGCACCAAGCGCATCAACTGTTCGTCAATTCCCGATCGACTCATGGCGTCGTGTTTTGTTTACCTTGAATTGATATCTTTATCTTCTAGTGTAATCTCGAGCGTTCAGACAAGAATAATAATATTCTGTCACAAAAACAAGCCTAATGACCAATCTGAATTGCTTTGCTACTACCTTCGGCGTCTTTCAATTGGAAGTAGTATTTTTGGAGCTGGCGGACAACGTACGGACGGCGGGAATATGACCAAAATGACCAGACCAACGGTGACATGGGCAGACCGCGTTCGTGGTTTCGCAGGTGGGATTGCCAGACCAGAGTCGCTTGGTCCCGCGCATAAGAAAAGACTAGTAAATAGGTAAATCGAAGTAGCCACTGGATTGCATGAGCTGCAATGCTCATTCAATCCAGGTAACAACAAAGAGATACTGGAATTAACATTCAAATAAAAGTCCTTTTATCTTTTTTAGACTAGAGGCATAGGCCTGTCTGTGTATTATAGCCCTCTCAGTAGGAGAGCTATACAGCCAGAAATTGGCCTCCAACATTA